GTTTGCGGTAGTTCAGACGCACGTGACCTGATCAGCGGAAGTCGAACCTCCAAACTCCGACCCCGACAGGCCGCACTATGGCCCAGAAGATTTTGCATGGACTTTGCGCGCACTTTCGGGCGTTCTAAAAGCCAGCCCTGGGCCTCCCAGGCCACGTTTCGGAGTGAGTTCCGGCCGAAGCGGGGAAGAAGGACTTACGCCATGAACGAAACAGCCAGAGACCACACCGTAACATAGCGCAGTTTTGAAACATGGATATAAGAGAGAGTCTTGTTCTTTGTTGCGTGTAGTCTTTTCGTGTGGAAAGAAAAAAGCGTGCTTGTATTTTTTCGTTTTGGCTTTCAACACCCTTGAAGCGATTTCGTGTGGCTTATATCTTTTTTCTGTATGAAAAAAAAACGTTTTTTCGTCTTGTTGTCGTTGTGTGTGGCTTTTCTGCTTCTCCTGCATGGAGAAGCAAGGCGTTTTACTTGTGTTGAAGTTGCCATTGCTTTTAAAAAGGTCTAAAAACAGGAAAAGCTGTGGCAAACAGACTTAGCTTGAATTTGTATGCAGCCAAGGCAACCGTTCTGGCAAAACAATGGTTTTGGGAAAGCTGCTTTTCAAACAAGACTAGAGCTTGGCTTTCCAAAAACGAGAACGGCCGTTATTAAAGCTTTGGAAAAGTCCCCATTACAAATGGTCCAAGTGCTTTGCTTATTTTATCTTTCAGAGAAGTGGTATTACAAGTTATTCCATGTTTTTAGGCAACGTCGGAAGATTTGCAGAGAATTATTTTGTTGGAAAAAATAACAATTTTCAACACTTTGGGGTTCCGAGTCGAAGGTTTGATAAAATGCTGATGATGTTGATGATGCTGATGATGATATGATGATAGCAACCGTCCGGTAATGGGTAAAAGAGATCATCGAAATTTAGCGGTTTGCTTTGCCATAATCCGTGGATTTCAAATTCTGTTGTGCACCCTTGCATTGCAGTGAATCGCGTAGATGCATGTGCATGTTTGGCAGCTGTATGCTCCGAACACGTCGCCACGCGGAACCAGCACAAGAAGGCACAAGTGAAAACATGCAGCTCTTTCCATAGTCGCTTGTTAACGACCATGTCCCAGTCCAATTGTGCCAGTGCAAAACAAGGGAAAGAATACACACCAGTCAACACCAGTCATTTGTTTCATCGCATGGTGAGTCACTAAACCAGGCATTGCACAAGCGTTGGGGTCAGCTTGGAATTGCCATGAAAGCTTAGCACCCGTTGCGTGAGTAGATGTTCGAAGGCCTGCAGATTCGTGTGTTTTTTTTTCAAACGTGTGCGAGTACTCGTTTCAGGACCATGGGTCACTTTGCACCTGCCCAGTTGCGGTCTCGGCATGGACAATCGCATGCATTCGAGTGGGTTCGAGTGCATGGCACCCTTCCCAGCAGGTTGCTCCGTCTCGTTGCACATTGCACATGTTGTGAAAAAAGGATATGTTCGAGGAACTTGTTAAGAACTTTAGGTTCAGGATCCAGGCAAATCGATCGTAAAGGTTGCCTCAAATTCTTCTTTCGGCATTAGGCTTTGCGCGCGTGCGCACGTGCACGTGTGTGTTTCTGTGTGTGTGTGTGTGTTCACCTGAGAGCTTCCGATTCCTTTCCGCTTCCTCGTTGATGTTAGGGCTGTTAGGGCATCTGGGCGGCGCGGGGTCAGCATCACTCAGACGACAACACCAAAGTTCAAAGGAATTGATGATAGACTAGTAGAGGGCAGCAGAGAACCAAAGGCGTTCATGTAGGCAAATGAGCACACTTGACGATGCCCAGAAGTTCCATTGATTGAAACTGTTACGTCTGTAGCGGTTTCTACGCTACAACACAAACCTCGGAATGGTATCAGGAGTCTGTGTACGGTCGAAGAAAAGAACTTTTTGCTGACTGTAGTGTTTCGAGGTGCATCCAATGGAGAGGGTCGAAGGCTGGGTTCGAGATTGGCCATGCAAGATGATGGTTTGCAACCTTGAGGCAGCCTGCTGGAATGATGCTTGCGAAAGCATCCCACGGAATGCGGAGGCTTCACTTTTCTTTTCGTTGAGTCAGTTGCATGTTTCATGTGTCCGATATTGTCACAAAGGTTGATGATGGTAAGAAGATGCCATGCAGAAGTCAAGAACATTCGCTGGTGCCTGATCACCACTTTTTGTGTGAACATACGCAGTGTCACGTGTGTTTGCCAGTTCGAGTGAGCATGTGCCTATCGGGTGTGCATCGAGGTTCAGCTTATTGATTCAATGTTGCATGGCGTCCTTGCTGTGCTGCTCCGATGGCAAAGCGTCTTTCCCTGGTTCGCGATTCGAGCCCAAGCAAATGCATTTCGTGATCTGAGGTTTTCTTTTTCTCCCCTCAGAGCTTATTGATGTGAAGGGCGGCACAGAGCTTCCGCAAAAGATCAGTGAGGCTCACGGTGTGTTGTGGGCGGCTGTGCTGGCCACTGCTCTCTTTTGCAGGTCGCCGGCGATTATTTGCAACTCAGGGGACCATCACCCGCTCCTTGTTACCAACTGGAGATGTTTGTCGAATGCCGACTATGTGTCCCGTGTTGTGAGCATACAATCGCGGACATGCACACGCAGGCACTCCGCGGGTGTTGTGGAGAGCCGACTGAGTTCTGATCTTGGAGTGGAGCTGCAGCTGGAATCAAAGTAGTTGCAATCTTTCCTGGAAGCAGTGTTTGGCCGAGGTTTCAATGGTTGTTTTTGGGCAGCTCGGATCAGGCAGACCGCCGCGCTCGTGCATGATATGGAATCTGTTACAGAAATTCCTACTGTTGACAAGCTGTCGTCGAAAGGCCATTGCCGGAGAGCCTTTCAGAACAGTTCTCGTGGCGCGTGATTCGCGTGGCCGTCAGGCTGCGGGTAACCAGGAAACATCAGGGTTTGAAAGTTTCCTCAGAGTGGGCTTCCGCGGAAAGGCACGACCTGCTGCCTGCGGGGCTCTACGAGTCGGGGTCTCAACCTGTTGCAGAAGTCGAACGTGTGAAGACGTCCGGGCACACGCCTGCCTGGCAGTGGTCTGAATCCATGCCGCCACAGTTTAGAATTCCGATTTTGGGTTTAGGGCTTAGGGCCAGTTTAAGGCTTGTGGGAGAAGAGGACTTGGGAAAAGCCTAGACCTTGCAGACCTTCCTCACAACGTAGCGTTGGCTGCGGGAAAGCGACACCTGGCTTTGGCCAAATAAGTCTCTGTAAATCTTAGATGCAGGCTGCCTGCACTGGATTGCAAAGTCAATGCTCTGAACCGCGCTCGCTAAACTGTTGGGGTTAGCGGGCGCTCTCTCCATAGAGCGGGCGCTCTGTCCATAGGTTGCCCTGAACTATCACTCACACGACATCGGATGATTGCGTCTATAACATTCCATGCTTCACTGCGTCCCGTGCAAGAAGTTCGAACGGCAGTGTAAACGTTGCGAGGTCGATGTCGACCTCACGGGCAAAGCCCATCTCTCTGGAGCCGTGGATCCCAGAACTTTGCTTGCAGTCTCATAGTGATTTGTAAACAATTTCATCACGGGGATTCCAAGGGTCCCTTCCGGCCATGGCGCTTGGCGCAGCTGGAATTGGACATTGAGAACGAGCTCGCTGAGGCCATAACATGAGTTATTTCTGTTTGTGGCCTGTGCCTAGTTTCTAGATCTCGCAAGGAAGTGCTGCAGTGTGTCTCAGGTTGTGCAAGCCGAAGTGCGCATCGAAAGCCCCGATCCAGAGGCACAGGAACATCACGCAGACCCAAAGTGCTTGTAAACAGTTGGATTGTGTTCCGGCTTCAGGGAGGGACGCTATTAATCCGAACAGCGGCGGGTAGGCCTGCCAATTCGCAAACCCGCCGACTGGCTGAACAAATCGATTCGGAAAACAAAAGGACGCTCAAGGTTGATTTTGGGGAAGGCTCGGCAATTTGGAGCATCAACTTGCGAGAACCAGGTCTAAGTTTCGGCTTTCTGTGGGCTTCTGTTTTGCGACTCTTTGGGGAGGTTTCTGGAGATCAATGTCGTCCAAGCGACAGAACAAATGCATTGATTTCCAAAGATCTGGATATATCCGTTAAAGAAGAATTGGGCCTGTCTTGCGAATCACAACCCAAGAAAGATGGAGCCCCAATTCGCCCAAAGCTCCCCGGGCAACAACAACTTCGCTGGCACTTTCAACTTCAACCTCTTTGCCTACCCAGATATGATGCAAGATGCTAAAGGTTGCTTCCGGCCTTGCCTCGAAGGCGGCGAGGGATAAGTCTCGGGCTGGGAACCTCACCGAGTCCCCCATTTCTTGCGGCCAGCGCAAACTGGCCCTGTCTTCCTGTGGATGTGCCGGGAAAGAAGGCTGCCCGGCCATGGCTCTAGTTTCAATTTCGTGATTCGATCCGCGACTTCGAAACGCACTTCCAATTTTCGGTTTTTCCCGGCCTGGAGGCCGAATTTCGGGTTGAAGTTTTCACGATTCCGAGTCCGTAGTTGGCGAGTTGATGTGCTTCCGGGCTGTGCCGTTATGGATTGGCACTCCAACACGAAATTGAAACCTGAAGTGGTTGGTCCAATCTAGTTTGCTGATTACCCACGGTGGGGTTCGCTGATGCGAGCCACTTCTAAAAAATCGAGTTCAGGGATTTTTCTTCCAGAGTTTTCCAAGATTGCTTCGGGTGTTTGAATGTTGAATTGCAGGTGTTTTCCAAATTGCTCGCAGCTTGCCCATCGACACGATTTCCAGTGCAGTCAGTTTGCTGAAAGTCTCCTTCAGGCAGATATACTGCTCCACAGATCGCGGACCCGCCTGTTTCTGGCTTTCGTTGGATATTTTTGCGATATGGTATGAAGATGTCCCGCAGGATACGGTTCACGTCAGGGCCTACGCACACCTTTTCTCTCCGAGTGGACCCGCTTCTCGGATCAGCATCTGGGCACACTTCCGTCGCAAGCGACTGCCCCCGAACCGATGTGAGGCCTGGTGGTGGCTCCCGGAGAGGCGGAGGCGGAGGCGAGGGCGGCAGCCCAGGCCCCAGATGCCGAGGGCCGTTCCGAGCGGAGCCGAGGTGCTTGGCAGCTACAGGAAGAGCTGACGGTTGTGCTCTCTTCAAAGGACCGCGTCCTCTTTCAGCGCTTTCGGTTTCGATTTGGCCATCCCAGGATCAGTTTGGCAACCCGGCAGGGTTCAATGTGTCTGGACAAGGCTTCCCAGCATCTTGCTACGTGTCATTCCTTTGGCATGAATATCTCGACAGCAAGTTAGGCTGTCTCTCAAACGATCTGGGGAGAAGGGAGGGCGTTAAGGAATCAGGAGTCGGAAATTTCAAGCAAGTCAGGCAAAAGAGTCGGGAATAGTGCAAGGTGGAAACCCCGACATGGATGGAGAGGCAGGTGAGGATATCAGATGAACACCAGAAACAGACCGACTGGAGTGCCAAGTTGGGGGAGGTCGAAGCGCTGTCCTTTTTTGTGCTGATTCTGCGAGGATGACTGAATTCATTTCACGCCTTTTCTGATGCTGGTGCAGCTCCAAAAATATAATGGCCAAGCCGTAGCCGAGCTCCTGAGCGACCTCCCGCAGACAGCAATCTCTGCGAAAAAGAACGGGGCTACAAACAGAAGCGGTCTCCTGCACTTGGGATAAAGCCGAATAAAAGCATTGCCAGGGGTGACGACACGTTTGCGACCCCGGTAGGATTTCTATATTGGGGTTGTTGAAAGGGACGGCACATGGCCGTTTGAACGTCACATGGTTCTTCAGGCAGGCTGTACCTCCGCAGTTCTGTGGGTCAGCAGCATGTAAAGATGATGCCGGTCACTCGATGCCAAGTCGCTCCCTCATGAGAGACTTTTGAGTGCTTCGTTCCCAGGCCAGCGACTGGTCTCTTCAGCAGCAATGCCACGGGCCAGGCTTCCCGACCACCCGAGCCTTTTTTGTTCAGTCCTTCCTTTCGTCATTTCTGCAGGCCCAAGTGCGCTTGATCGGCTTGCGCCCTGGAGTTGTGGACATTTGGGTGGAGCAGGCCACTCTGAGGATCCTGCCTCAAGCTTGAACCGGAGGAAGTCAGCTCTGTTGGCTGCAGGCGGGTGGGGAATACCAGTCAAAGCAGCAGCAGTCGCAATCTTAGCCAAAAGTCTGCACATGCCTGCCGGTGGGCAGTGGCTTGTTGCGAGAAGTGGCGTGAGTCAGTGAGGTCGCTCCTCCGAGCCGCAACGACACAGTCATTGACGTTTTCTCAAGCACAGACAGGCCGCGAAAACCGCGCGGCAGGAAGTGGCAGGGGCCGGACCGGCACGCGACGAGACAGGTCCGAGTCACAGCTCACCGTCTGCGTACCTGGCGGCTTTTAGGCCCCTTCCCTGTGACCAGCTCCTGACACCCTTTTCCCAGCCTCACTGACTATCCAGGGCTAGAGCTGGACCAGACGATGCAAAATGGCAGAGAAAGGCTGACGAGGCTCAGCAATTCGCTTCCGGAGTACTGCCGGACCATATGCAGTGTGGCAGCAGGTCCGGGAAGCGTTCCAACATGCTTGGCAAAGCTACGCGAAGTGAGCCCATAGTGAGCCCGTAATCCGTTGCTCTGTTGTGTTTAGCCTTTTGGGCATTGAGGTATGCTTGGGGTCAGGACGAGCTGCAACCTCTCTCGGCGCCCGGCACTTGGCGTGTCCTGGCCGTAACGTGATAGGCAGGGACCCTCTCTAAGCCGAGGGCAGGGCGCAACTCCTTCGGGGGAACTGGCCTCACCATCCTGGACCGCTCTTGGTGATGCAAGCAGCTTCGTGTTGGACAGGGTCGTTTCCAGAAGCTTGAAGGACTCTCTTTCGACGCTTTGGCTTATGGGCCTGGATGAAGAGTTCCAAAAGGCCCGCAGCCCGTCTGGGAAGGTTTGCAGCATGCCACAGCCACGCCTGTCAGGGGGTCAAGTTTGTCAGCGAAGATCTAGACTTCGATCGGGCAGACTCCGACGTGTCGGTTTTTGAGTTAACGATCAGGGCGCTTGCAACTCAGCCTGCACAGAACGGCGAAGACAGAAGTCGACACTCTGCAGCAGTCAGGCTTGGCGGTCTTCTCGGTGCACACACGTTGTCAGGCAAAGAGGCCGGAATAGCGAGACTTCTTTCCTGCCTGTCACGAAAATGGAAAGCCATCAATGTAAATCTGTGCCAGATTCTCCTGGAGCGTGCGAAAGAGCTCGGCGATCGACTGCTGCCCGCCTTCAAGACGAATTCAAGGTTGGGTGGACGGTCGTTGGTGCAAGGAAAAGAGCTCTCCCATGCCGCACCTCCTCGCAGACTGACAAATGGTGCCAGGATACCTTTGCCCACAGTCAATCTTGCTCGTGGAACCAGCAAAGCCAGCACTCAGCCCATTATTCTGTCCGAGGCGCATGCAACCGTCTCATTGAAGGGCACTTGCGTTCACAACAGCGCAGCTGTGCACAGCACGGATTGCGAGGCTGGCAGTGTCCAGGTCGAATTTCGCAGCCTGGCAGCCAGGACCATCGCAATTGAATGAGCTGTGACAGTTGTTTTTTTTCTGATTTGTTTGATTCCCCAAGTTGCCTGGACGATTCCCGTGATTCTCACTTCAGGACAGGAGATGCTCGATTCAAAGGTGCTGCGGACCAGGCCTTTCAGGCGCGACGGCAGGTTTTTGGAAGCTGTGCTGGAGCTGCAGCACCCCCTGTGAGGCCATCCAGTCCACAGGGATGCATGGCATACTTCCCGTCTTCTTGTCTCCTCCCAGCATGATGCCAGTTCAGGCGCCTTCTGTGGTGGTCGTTTGGAGCCGCGTCGTTTAACATGAAGCCGGCAGGCTGTTGCCTCCAAGTTCGCATTCGGGGCACTGGCAGACTCGTATTACGAGTGCGCTCCCTTTTCATGTTTTGCTTTGTCTTGCATCGGGCCTTGATCTTGATCACTGTTTCGTGGGCGAATAACCTTCAAGAAAACCTCGTGTCTTTGCACGGATGCTCCAGTTGTACTTGCGATTTGTGAGATGTGGATGATCACATAGCCGTCACCGAGTTAACGTGTTAAAACATGCCGCGGCTGGCGGATTCGGCCCTGGACCTCTGCCACGCTTCGGTCATTTCCTTGTTTTTCTTTGGCGGTGTTGGCCATCTTCTGGTTCAGGTTGTGTCACTGGGGCCGCAAGTGGCAAGGTCTCTCCTCAACTGCACTGCTTTCCGCTTATGGGACCTTTCAATGACGGCCGCGCCTCAATCCGAAATCGTAGGTTTTGAGTTGCATGCCGTCACAAGCAGGTACCTGCTGAAGCAATGGCTTCAGAGCCCGTCTGAGATGCGCTTCAAGGACACAGGGCCGGACATCAGTGTTCTCTAGAGTTTTTTGTGTGAGCAACGGGATAACTTGGCAGGAGATTTTCCTGGAGGTGATGGATGCATTGCCCAGCATCGTCCGCCCGCTGCCTGCTTCGGTCGCCTCCTTCGGGACGAGTCTTTTCAGCTAGTCATACTTGCCCATATGCTAGATTTTTACCGAGGTCAAATCGGCAGAGGCACGGGAGCTGATGGGAGTCTCTTGTCGGGGTGTCCAGAAGTGTAAGAAGTGGCCTGATGGGGACTGAAAGGCCGGTACAACCCGCTTCAAGTTGATTGAGATTGCAGCCGACGGCAATGTCGTTTGGAAGATGGACATTCATGTTGTCCTGTGAGTCGTGATGAGGGCGTCTAGTGCTTGTCTATGCACCCATGCAGGATCACTTGAGTTGCTTTGCGCCAGCGTTGATAGCACTTGGGCTGGGTGCTGAGCCATGTGCCGGCCTTCCTGCGCGTGTTGCAGCACTCTGGCCGCAGGCTCATGGAATTGCCCGCGCAAGATGTCGCAAGCCGAAACGCGACGTCTGCCAAGCCTTTGTCGGGGCTGTGTCTGCAGATGTGCGGCGGGGTGTTCTGCCAGGTGGTGGCACCTAGCGGAAGGCCTCACGGCTTCCTGCGTGGAGCTTTGGACTTCCAGTCCCTCAGGGCTGGCTCCAGAGTTCAGCAAGGCCAATCGGCTTCATTCCGAAGCCAAGCGTTGCACTTCCTCGACGGGCGTTAGCCAAGGTTAGTGCCAAGCCACCTCACGATTTCATCGAGGCTCCGACTTATGAAGGTATCCGAGTCGTGATGTATCAGAATGTGCCAGGCAGCCTCAGATGGGAGGCATTCGTTTCTGCGGCCCGAGACGGCCTGCGACTTACGGTGCAAAATCCGTGTGCGGATGAAGTTTCTTAGTCTGAGTCCTCTGCAAGCGAGCCTGATGCTGGATAAGGCCGAGTCTTTGTTCTATCTCTACAGGTTGACTGGTGATGAAAAGTGCACCCGGCATGACTTAAGTTGCCGCAGAGGCGCTACAGGTACACTGCATGTGAACCCTAAGCCCAGGTATCGCAGATGGGGCGAGAAAATATTTAATGCCATTCTGGACAATGCGAAGGCGCTCCGAACTCTATGACATTCTCTTTGGACTGTTTGGAGCATGGTGAAGAACATGCGTGCATGCTTCGCAGCTGAAGCGGTAGAGCACTGTTGACAGATCGAACTCTCTCACAGCCGTTGACCAATCACCACATCTGCGGCTTGTGCCTGGCAGGTTCCGAATGGCTTTGCATCCGTACGTGACGTGAAGGCCGTTTCGTTTGCAGACATGTGACATACAATCTGTCCATGTCATGTCGCCGTGTCGCGGCGAAACTTGAGTTGCGCTTGATTTCCGTAACTGCCTTTTGAAATGCATAACCCCATAGCGCAGCATGCAACTTCGTTATACATCGTGCCAATGCATGCAGCAACATCTCACAGCCCTCATTTCAAGGCCATCTCGACATCAAAGATGGACGAGATGCAGACCTTCGTAATGTCAGCAACTGGCTTAGCAAGAAACGTGTTCAGTCAGTTGAAAACTCTGTGACCTTGGCCTGAGCTTCATCGTGATGTCAAGGAAACCTTCAAGTATCTTTTCCTCCTCTTCTCCCCGGCAGCCACTCGGAAGTGCTAGACAGTGCGGCAATCCAGGCATTTGTCTGCAGACAATTTCGAACACATGGCCGCGAGTGGAACAGCATGGTACGCAGTAGGCCACCAAGCTCCAGCACAGATGGGTCGGGAGCCGTTTCAGCAAAACCGTAGCAAACTCAGACATTGAGAGATTTTGAGCAAGGGGGCCCAACTCGGACGGAGACCGGTGAGCCCCTCGCATTAAGAACAGTTGTGCACGAGTATTCTTGCCTCTCTGCTTTCGTATGACCGATGAGCATGATGGCCCAGACATGGAAGTGTTTCCTCGACGGAGCAACTCCGCAAGCGGTGCCTGCGACAGCAGCCTCCTTTGGTGGGAGCGAACAACCTGGATGCCTGACCTAGTCGTCACTGCAGAGAGCGGTGGCCCTTCTTACCGTACACGGGTCGCATGTGGAACCATCAAACGCCAACTGTTGTTGATGTTGGGTGCAAGATTGACGGTATGATGGCGTGCGAAGTTTTCACCTAGAACAGTGTGGGCAACTGTTTTTCACATGTCCTGCTTTCGCTTATTGGGGACGGGCTTATTGGTTTCGGATTACGATATTTTCTGTGTACGCTGCAGCCGTGCCCTGCCCTGTGCTCGGAGTTGTCGGAACGGCGAGGCCCCAGGCACCCTGCGCCACCGTGACTATGGATAAAGTATCATGTCTTTCTGCCACAAGCGGATGTGCTGACAGCACTGGCGACAGTCTGATGTAGAAGCTTGTGTGTCTGCTGTGACCACTGCACAGCGAACTGTGGCCGGTTGATGGAGGCATCGGGATGGCTTGGACAATCCTAAACCGCCTTAAGCCGCAATGGTCTCTAAACACAGCGAGATGTCAACTTGACTGGCTTTATAGCGTGGGTTTAGGTTTTGGGAGTTTCAATGGCTTGCGGGTGTAAGACTACTTCCAAGGATTGAAACAGCACAGCCCCAACCCTAACCTTGCAAGTCTTGAAGCCCACACGTGCCGCAACTCAAATTTTAAGAGGACTTGCCGAGTGGTACGTTTCCCGAGCAGTCAGCTCGAGCCACCAGCAAGCTCAGCAAAACAGGCGCACTTGAAGTCGTTCTGCAGCATCAGCTGAGCATCCCTCCCGAGCACTAATGCGAGAGGACTATCGCTCGCCTTTGTCGTTGAGCCTCTTCTTCGTTGATGTTTGAGTGAGCATTGCAAGCCAAGGCAGCGTTTGACATGGACAAGTACTTCTTCAATACTGAGGGCCATCCGCTGAAGCGCCATGAGCTCTGATCAACGAGGACAGCACATGTTGAATTCAGGCCCAAGACTTTCCTCCCAGAAGCAGCATCAACCTCTCCTAAGTGTGTAGTTCGAAGACTTTGCCTCCAGGGGCAAAACGATGTGTGCATTGCTTCTCTGCGATGAGATCGTTTGGGGACTATCCTTCCTGGCGTCTTCAATTCCGCCGTGTGCCCTGTGTTCGCAGATCGCGGGTGAATCACGAGCAGCAGAGCTCATGATGCGAAATGGCATAAGCAAGACCCAGTGCAGTTGGTTCCGCGGCCTGCGTTTGAAACCTAGTCCTCACAGCAAAAGCTGAACATAGCTCAAGCTATATTCTTTCATTGTCACCCCCCTACGGCATCTCAACTACAGTTTGCAATGCACTCCACAAGCTGCAAGTTTATGCCAAGAAGCTCCACAACACGCCTGTCTTCTATCTGCAGGGTAGATATGGAAAGCTGATTCCTCGCCCCTTGAAGCTAAAAGCCAGCAGTGTCATCATGGTGCTGAGCTTAGATGTCTCAAGAGAGTCTGCAAGATGGGTTTTTCAGAGTTGTCAAGGCCGAGATAAACCATCAGATGATGGATTCGGTCAGCCCGCCGTGTTTCTCTTGTGCCGCGTGGATGTAGGTGCTGGCAGGTTGGCTGACTTACCGCTCTGGTTTGAATGGCCCATAGATCCAGCACAAGCCACAGCCGCTGCTGTCGGTGCCAGGATGACGAGAATCTCTCTGTGTGGATGCCCCAGATCTGAATCCGACAGCTGGCAGATAGACCGCTTGGGAGACGTCAGGCACTCCGCCATCTCAAATCCGTCGGATTTTGCCGAAGATGAGGAGGCCGCGAGGGCGTCGAATCCTGGAGGACGACTGTGTCTCCTTCCCCGCTTCACGCACCCTGTCGGAGGTTGACTACCTGGCGCTGGAGCTGCTGCATCATCTCCCGTCGGAGAAGGCAAACGGTGCACCCGGGTAACACTATGCAATATAGCCATGCATCCTCTTTTTCTGGCAGTCCGGCAGGACCATCTTGCATGTTATGATGGGACCCGATATTTCGGGATATCCAGGGCTTGCAAGCTTCCCTCATGAGGCAGACAAGCTCATGAAGAGTTTGCGGGCCAAAGAGAAGGCCGTGCAGGCCCGAAGTGAGAGAGTGACTTGCTCCGTAGATGTCTGTATCGCAGTGCGCACATCTCTTCCGCAGCTGTACTTGGATCAAATCCGGCCACCCTTGCCGCGAGAACCAGCAGTGCTCACATCTTGCCATTCAAGAATCTCGGAACGCAATTTCACGACAGTGGCATTCTTGCGTGGCCGGTGCCGCACTGACACCATGCTTGCAACAAGGATGGGTTGTGGAGGTAGCAAGGCAAAGCCCGCTGAGCCCCAGGCATCCAACGCAGTTAGCAGATTCAAGGATTTGTGTGCTGCTTGAACTCGTCCGGACCTGAAGAGGCTGCACCGAAGAAGGAGCCTGAGCCTGTCAAGGAAGAGCCCAAACCGGAGGCTGTGTGGAATGAGCCTTCTGATCCGGGCAAGTCCACATGTCTGGTTTGGGGAGGAGAAGCCTGCGGAGCCCAAGGCAGAGGAACAGGACGGGACCGGAGAGTTTCTCATGCTGGCGAACGAAGCTGTAATGAAGCTGATTCGTGGCCGGCGCAGGCCACTGTGGCAGAGCAGGCAGCCGTCTGTGTTGAGCTTCAGATGCAGAGTTGGCGGCGTTGGTTAGCCAGGTTCAAGCTGCTGCGGAGAAGGCACTGCATGGGTCCAGGGTTCAACCTGAAAGTTTCAAGGAGGTAGTCACAACCTCAGAAGCGACAGGGAGGTTTGAAAATTCCTGCTGTGTAGGTGATGGCTGCTGCTGCCGACTTGGTGGGCTACGGGGACCGTGGTTTTTCAATAGAGCGCCTGCTTCGCAGTGCCGGCAGCCAGTAATCTCTGAAGGGAATGCGAACGAAGCTATGACTGCATCGGGTGGAACCCTGAAGTCTAGAGTAGAGTCTGATTTTAATAGTTCCTCCGCCGCTGCAGTCCGCAGCCCACGTCCTGCTGGAAGCCATACTTTTGCCTGAGCTTGCACTCAATCTGTGAAGTAAGCGCACATACGTATCTTGAACTTCAGCCCCGGTTGCATCTCAGACAAGCACCTGCGGCTTTGTGCCGAACAAACAACGCGATTTTTAATAGCCGTGCCATAGTAAACGATGCAGCAGCAGTAGTACAGTTCAGAAGTGAAGGCACTAACGATCGGACGACGGACGAGAAGGTTAATACGAACGAAACTAGTCCCAACAACTTGCTGCTAGTATCAGTACTAGTCCAAGTTTAGTCCGAGAGCGAGAAGGAGGCGGTGGAGGAGGACGGACGACCGACAACACGAACTGCGGTCCCACACGCGCCCCCCCCNNCCCCCCCCCCCCACCCCGCCCCCCCCTGATCAACCCCCGCACCCCCACCCGCCCTTACCAGTGCCAACGCCGATTTAGGAATGCCACTGTAGAAGCCTTTATTTGCAGAACCTCATGGGTTGAATCTGCTCCAGGACCAGACTCCCACAGCAGCCCTGGATTTGCAGACCGGCGCCGAAGCTCACCACTCAGCGTTAGCAGCCTGACCGTCGGCGACAAGATCCAACCCGGTCAGTGCCGGCCCTGTCTCCGACAGGTAACCAACATTCGCAGCGGTATGAGTGGAAAGGTCTTAGAGCAGAAAGCCACAGATCCTTTGTTGCAAGATTCCTTGACATGGCATCCATAATTGATGCTTGTTTGCAGCAAAGGAAGCACTCGTGCATCTTGGTCGCAGTGCCTTTAGTGACCTTAGTGTGTGCTTGAAGTCATGACGGTCGCAGCCCAGGAAGTACGATGATGGCAAAGCCGAGTGGACTGAAATCGCCGCCTTGAAACTAACGGACATTTGGGGTTTCTGCAATGCAGGGGAGGCCTGAAAGAAGTGGCTCCCGGGCTCCCGGGTTTGCCTTGAGTTGATCTTGCTGAATTAAGAACTCACGGCAGGACAAGCCTAGCGATGTAGTGGACGACAAGGCCATCACTGCATTTCAGACTGCTGTGTGCGGAACATTGCGGGACCTTGTACTGTGCAGGGAGCTCACGAAATCAAGCTCGAAGGAGCTGGTGACACCAAGAGTATGTGTCCCACGGCCAAGAGTTGGAGTGCGAGAGAAGGCTAGACTGCACCGCGTCTGCGCCGTGTACGCCGTTCAGTTGCATTCTGAGACATGGGCTTGTGACTTGTCCCAAGGTTCTTGCGGCTGGATGTGATGCCGGTAGTAGCTGCAGAGAAGTGATCGTCGTATGCACAGATTTCACTGGGGTGGGTTTGTATGCCTTGATAGACAAGCTTCTTATGTTGCGAATGTGTGGGCCCCAACCCACTCCAGCAGAAGCAGGGCTCAGATGCCGTCCTGCTTTCTGCCACGCAGGCAAGGACGAAGGGTCCGATGCCTGAAGCTAATTCGCACCTTTTTGCAGTACAGTCTCCGACAAACAGAAGGAGTACTGTTTCACGGCAGCTCTGGCATCTAGACTCCGATTCGTAGAGACGAGCTGGAAAGTTAGATGTGCCTAGCTTGAAGAGCACTTGCACTCGAGTCACTGGGATTCTATAAGACGTCCGAATGCCGAAGGACTTGGTAGCGAGAAACCGCTCCCTGCTCAATTCGTGCGAGGCTGGTTGTCATTCTCTAGCCTGCAAGTGGATGGTGCTAGTGTCAGACGTCCGTCAGTGAGTTTAGTCTTGGTGCTTCCTTTAGGCCTTGGATGACGAGAACCAGGAAACGGCTTGTGCGTATTTCTAGGGCTGGGCAGGCGGTGAGCTGAGCAGGGCACCTTCTGGCAGGCTCTGACGGAGCGTTTGAAGGAGGCTGAAGATGTGGCGGCAAAGGCAGAGGCGGCATCGTGCCAAAGTCGAAAAGTCGCGTGCTCTGCTCTCTTGGCGAGGTGCCGGAGCCAGCACCACCACCAAAGGCCCCACAGAACCCGCCTCAGAGAATCTGCTCACGACCCGCTGCTTGGAAACTGCATCATTTTGGAGCCTGCTTCTAAATGTAAGGTCAGCTCCGGTTGATAATTCCTTTTTTCTTCAGATGGAGCAGAGCTTAGCAAAGTGCCTGAGCTGACCCGTCCCGCTCGCGAGCTTGGGCTTTGAAGAAGTTGCAGGAAAGAGGAAAGGAAGAGACCATCCTTCGTTTGACCAGTGAGCTCCTAGTCAGCAAGATGCAGTCGGGCAGCAGAGATCAATGCTCAGCTCGAGCTGCAAGGAACCACAAGCTTGCCGAGCAGGCAGGGCAGGGCAGGGCATGGGCGGGCCTCACACAGATGTGAGCAGATGAGCAGCAAGAGGTAAATGGGAAATTGAGCATTCAGGCGGTGCCCGCCCTGTCTAGGTCCGTCGCTTGAGTGAAGGTTGCAAGCAGATGGAGGAGGCCGCTACCGCCTGTTCACCAGCTTAACCGGCGGCCGGTTGTAGGATCCACGGCTAGCAGGCTTTGATGCAAGCACGGAAGGACATGAAACGCGCCAGCATCTCAGTACCTGACTGCCATTGCTCTGGCAGAAAGGGGAACAGCAATAGGGCTCACTGGGCCGTCTGACTTGGTGAGCTCTGAGGTTCAGCAGAGCCAGCCAAAGCAAACGGTGATGCCGGCTTGTCGGAGTCGCAGAGGGGAACACAGGTTGTGCCTGAAAGCCAGGAGAAGACGTCAGGTCGCTTTGCACGCGGGTGCCTTGGTTGTGCACATCATGGAAGTGCTGGTAGGCTCGCCACAGCTGGACGAAGAAGAGCGCCTCTACCGGGAGCTCCAGGTGGCAGATGTGGCAATGTCCCTGCTTTGCCTGCTTCGGTTCCAGGGTGAGTCCATGGGCGACCTGATTCTCCAAAAGCTCCAGGAGAAGCAGGCACCGCATGGCACCGCATGGCACCGGTGGGTGGGGGGAGTTACTGTTACTGGGCCTTGGGAGGCCGAGCACAGGCTGAAGATCCAAC